GTGTGGTGGAGGTTTCTTCTTTGGAAGCTTTTAAGCAGAGGCTGGATGGCCATCTGTCAGGGGTGCTTTGAATACAATATTCCTGCTTCTTGGCACGGGGTTGGACTGGATGGCCCATGAGGTCTCTTCCAACTCTATGATTCTATGATTGTACAGACCCACTAAGAAAATGCAACAGATGCTCCGTTCAGCAAAGGACAAGAGGGATCCTCTCACCTCTGCAGGAGTCTACCGCATACCATGCAGCTGTGGACAAGTCTACAGAGGGACCACCAAACACAGCAGCATTACTCAGACATGAATCAAAGAACACAAAAGGCACTGCAGACTAATTCAGCCAGAGAAGTCAGCCATAGCAGAACACTTGATGAACCAACCTGGACACAGAATAGTATTTGAGAAGACAGAAATGCTGGACCACTCTGACAACCATCATGCCAGACTACACAGACAAGTGGGATAAGGCTATCTGGTCAAGAATTATAAGGGCCTCACCAGATCAAATCACAGGATGTCATGTTACGAAGCCATCGTCAAGCTGTGGCATCAAATTGCTCTTCTTGTGTCGTGTATTAGTGGATGACAAACTAGGTTAACAAGATGAAAGCTAAAGGCTGGATTGCCTTGACATCGAATTTCCTCATTTTTTTTCTTTGCACATGGTGTATATATCTCCGAATAGCTATACTAGGGATACATTTCTGTAGCTGTGGGGCAAACCGGAATAAAACTCATGATCTGAATATTTAGTTGTGCGACAAAGCATGAATGCTAAGCAATTTCCGCAGTAACAAATGGGAGACAATTATTTTTAGTAGCAATAGAATGGCATCTAATCCCTTATTTAAACTTGGGAAGAACAGTCAGATTTACTAATGAGCTCTCACATTCCTCTGTCTTCGGCTTTCAGTCTTTTTGATATGTGAAGAAGTTGTTTATGGCTGCAGATACCGGTATCTTCCTTTAGTCAATGCTTTCCTTTTTAATATGTTTTTGTCCACTTAGGTAGATACTGTCTTGGCCTATCCAATATATGAAAGGCTGTAGGCTATACAGGTTGGTCATTCCTTATTCAAATCTCCAAAATCTGGAATACTCCAAAAATTGATATTGCCCACATGGGTGATTCAGACAATGCCATCTTTGCTTTCTGATGGTCCGATGTACATGAACTTTTGTTTCATGTACAAAATTATTAAAATTATTTGTTTCATATACAAAATTATTCCTTCCTTCTCTACCTCTTTCCTTCCTTCCTTCGCTTTTTGCTTCCAACCTTCTTTCTCTCTTTCCTTCTTTCCTTCTTTCTTTCTCTCCCTCTTTCTCTCCCCCACTTTCTCTCCTTCCTTCCTTCCTTCCTGCCTTTCTTTCTTTCTTTCTTTCTTTCTTTCTTTCTTTCTTTCTTTCTTTCTTTCTTTCTCTCTTTCCTTCTTTCCTTCTTTCTTTCTCTCCCTCTTTCTCTCCCCCACTTTCTCTCCCTCCTTCCTTCCTTCCTTCCTTCCTTCCTTCCTTCCTTCCTTCCTTCCTTCCTTCCTTCCTTCCCTCCCTCCTCCCTTTCTTCTCCTCCCCTCCCTCCTCCCTCCTTGACTTTCTTTCTTTCTTTCTTTCTTTCTTTCTCTTTCTTTCTTTCTTTTCTTCTTTTTTTCTCTTTCTTCTCTAGTTTCTCCCTCTTTCTCTCGTTCATTCCTCCCTTCATCCTCTTCCTTCTTTCTCCCTTTGTCTCTCCTTCCTTCCTTCCTTCATCCCTTTCTTCCTTCTCTCCCTCCTTCCTTCCTTCATTCCTTCCTTCCTTCCTTCCTTCCTTCCTTCCTTCCTGCCTGCCTGCCTGCCTGCCTGCCTGCCTGCCTGCCTGCCTGCCTGCCTGCCTGCCTTTCTTTCTCCCGTTCCTTCCCTCTCTCTTCCTTCCCTTTTTTTCTGTATCGTCATTTAGCTTTTCATCATTTGGCTTTTTGGGATTTTTAAGTCCTTTCTGCTGTTTTTTGGAGGGGTTTTATGAGTGATGGTCAATTCATCCAGTAGTTTTTGAGTTATGTTAATCCCACAAATGAACGTTACATTTTTATTTATATAGATGTCGATACAGGTATCTCAAAAGCTTTCTAAAAATCCATATCCAAATCAGTCCTGGTCCCAAACATTTTGGATAAGGGACACTCAACCTATATGTCAAAGGAAGGAATGGGCTAAACCATGGGATATTCCTCAAAAAGAGAAGAGCTAAAAAGGGCAACAGCTATATATTCCCCCAGGAGGCAAAGGTATAATTTTCAGGGTTGCTTTGCTCTGAAAAAAAGGATAAAGGAGAGATAATAGGGATGTATAGATTTATGCATGGAGTGAAGAAAATAGCTAGAGGGGAAGCTTTTCTCTCTCTTTCAGAGTATTAGAACCTGGGTCAGCATCCAGTCAAGGTGAATGGGAACCGATTTCAGACATAGAAAAGGAGCTATACTGCAGAGCTACAACAAACTGGTTACAACAAAATGTAGGGAATACCTAATAGCTGGAAGGTGGGATAAATTCATGGAGCATAGGGCCATACATCCCTTCCCTCCAGTCCCTGAGGCAACTTACCTATCCGAATGTATCTCTCCTTACGAACCATCCAGAACGCTAAGATCTTTTGGGGAGGCCCTGCTTTTGCTCCCACCTTCCTCACAGATGCGTTTAGCGGGGATGAGAGATAGGACCTTCTCAGTGGTGGCCCCTTGACTGTGGAACGCCCTGCCTAGAGAAATAAGATCAGCCTCCTCCCTCCTGTCCTTTCAAAGAATGGTGAAAACTTGGCATTTCGAATAGGCCTTCCCAGATATGGCATAGATATATGATATTATGGACAACTGACAACGCTACTGGACAATGATTTGAGATGGAGATGCTTTGACAATGTTTTAACTGCTGTGTACGACTTTTATGTTTTATATTGCTGTTAGTATTTTAAAGTATTTATGATTGTTTTAATTTTAATTTTGTTGTAACTGTACCGGCATTGAATTGTTGCCTATTGTTAACCGCTCCGAGTCGCCCTTGGGCTGAGAGGGGCGGCATATAAATGTAGTCAATAAATAATAAATAAATAAATATAGCTCCAAATAACCATTACTGAAGAGCAGAAGCAAGAGGGTAGCGTGACAGTCATATTCTTCCCATGGACTTCTGTAAAGCTTCTGGTTGTTGACCACTGTGGGAATTATTTATTTCTTTATTTAGTTATAATATTTATAGCCCGCCTTTCTCACCCCTAAGGGGACTCAGAGCAGCTTACAGAACACGCATACGGCAAACATTCAATGCCAATTGCACAATTAAGAAGGACAGACAACGCAAACAGAAGTAAAGTCGCCCCTGGGCTGGGAGGGGTGGTATATAAATATGTTAAAAATAAATAAATAAATAAATAAATAAATAAATAAATAAATAAATGCAGTTTTTCCTATCTTATTTTCACCATCTTGGAGGCAGTCCTCAACTCTGGCCATAGGGGGGGGGGAGTTTGCTCCATCTTCCATGCTGAGGAGCTTTCCTCCAATTAATGCCCCTTTAAAAGGGCACCTTTATTACCTCCCTGCTAAAAGTGGTACCTATTTATCTACTCACATTTCTGCTTTTGATCTGCTAGGTGGGCAGGACAGCTGGGGATAACGGCGGGTGCTCTCCCCAACCTGAGCTTGAACTGCCAACCTTCGGATTGGCAGGATTTTTCTGCAGCACAGCAGTTTAGCCTTCTGTGCGAAGCCCGGTTTAGCCTTCAACAAGAATCTTCTTCTGTTATGAAATCTAAGACGTTCCTCAGTCAATGTTGAAAATCAGCCTGTGTTTGTGTTTCAAGATCCTGATGTGGGAAATGATGAGAGAAATGATGGTGCCAAGGCTGTGGTACAAGATGGAGATGGTTTGGTCAATGATTTCCATCAGACGATGACAGAGAGGCCCCAGTGCAAAGGGCAGTTTCTCATGAGAATATCCCTGCTGGGCCTGGCAATGATGGTTCACTCTCTCTCTCTGTGAGCTCTCAAGATTTGGGTTTGGAAAACAATCTGACACCTGGGAATTTTAATCAGCAGCCAGATAGGGAGCTGGAGAATAGGTGACTGGAGATCAGCCAGGATCGACAGCAAACTCAGTGTTTACGTCGCTCTGAAAGGCTTCTCTTGATAAGGGGGAAATGTGGGGGGAAGCGAAACCAATTTCTGAGCTTTGGGATAAAAGGTTTGCCTCAAGGGGAAACCTGTTAGATCAGGCATTGTTTGGAAATCAAGTTCATGTGCCATGGAAATCCTGTTCAAGGGGGTCTTGTTTCTTGTGGAGTGTTTTAGCCCTTTGGATTGTATTTGCATCCTGTTGATTCCTGTCTGGATAAATGCTGTCTTGGATTGCTTTTATATCTTGTGTGGACATTGCTTTGGGTTTCTGCCTTTTATGGACTTATTACTTTCTCGAACTACCTTATTCTCTTACAAGCATTTATTTCTTCTGGCTATTTACTAAGTTTCAATAAAAGATTTGTTCTTCACTCTTCGTGTGGTGTGTTTTAAAGTCAGAGGGCTCTTTCCTGACCTGGAGAGCAACAGGCAAATGGCATCTGCTAGGACTTCCCTGCTGTGGGAAACGACAAGAAGATAGCACTTCAATGGTGTGTCAGTGACACTGTGGGAAAATTAAATGACTGAGTTGCTGTGGTTAGGGAGATGTGCTTTTAATTGTATGCATATGGGGAAAAATGCAGTGCATTAAATCAATGTAGAGCAGGCATGTGCAAATTTCAGCTGTCCAGGTGTTTTGGACTTCAACTCCCACAATTCCTAACAGCCATTAGGCTGAAGTTTGCACATTCCTGATTTAGAGCAATGTTCTTTAGTTCACTGAGTCTAGCCATGCATTTTCCAAGTGGTTGCATTGCTCTACTTGGGACTGGCAGTGCCTCTGTAGTTGATTCTTCTCGTCTCCATGGCTTATTAACACATATTCTTTTGTTTTTGTTTTCTTTTCTGTGCCGGCAGCAAACTCTGGAGATGAACCTCACGAACTTGATGAAACGCAATAGTGAGCTAGAAAACCAGATGGCCAAACTGATACAGATCTGCCAGCAAGTAGAGGTATGTGTTGGGCATTTCTCCATGAAGGTGGTGGTGGTATATTTATTTATTTGTCGTGTCAGGGCAACCAGACCAGGGTGATGGTGGTGAGAGCATGTTGATGTTTGGTGTTGGATGTAAAGTGAGATGGATGTAGAATGGAGCAGCATAACACCTCAGTTTCCAAAAACTCTATGACTGCCATGCAAGACTATTAAACACCATCCTGAGTCACCTGAGGGCTGGGAAGGCTCCATGTTGAGTTTTGGGGCAGAAAAGGGTTATTCCTGAGGCGGAGAGGTTAGTGGAGCAAAAGCAAGATAGCCATTAGTCTTAGAATTAGCCTAGGAGAAGAATGGCAGTGATTTTGGAGCAATCAATTGACCCACAGACAGGGGCGGCTCGTCCATTATGCGAAGTAAGCGGTCGCAGAACACTTTTTTTGCCAGGGGCGCAGAGGCGCCTCTGTAAATGCCCCTCGACCGCCACTTGAGGAGCACCCCCTCAGCTCACAACAGCCCTAGCAGTCCGGGGGGAGCCTCGGCTTTCTTGCCTCGCTGCCGGGCGATCCTCTTCCCAAAGGGGCTGGGCCCTTGAGCCTCGCCTCGCCCCTCTCGTTCCTGCTCCACCCGGCCACCGGGTGTGCGAGCAGAGCGGGCACTCAATCGTTCTCCGTGTTCGATCCCTTCCCCATGACCGGCTCCCTTTCCCGATCTCCCAGCGCTCCACCCGCCTCCTCTCCTCTCCCCAATCCGCAGGTGGGCCAAGGGGCGGAGCCGCTGTGCCAGGCCCTCTTCGGGTCCGGAGGCGTGCCTGAAGACCCCAGCATGCGCACCAAAAATCGACTCTTCTCCTGACTTTCTCTTCAGCCATTGGGACCAAGAGAGAGAGAGAGAGAGCCCCTCCGGCTGGAGGTATCTCCGCTCTCCGCTCCCTCCTTTGTTTTTGCACCTACCTTCAGGAAAGGTGGGCATCTCTTCAGGAAAGGTGGGCATTTGGTGCACACGCCGGGGTCTTCAGGCACGCCTCTGGACCCAAAGCGGGCCAGGCAAGGGAGCAAGTGCGGCAAGTGTAGTTACTGGGATGTATAGTTCACCTACAATCAAAGAGCATTCTGAACTCCACCAATGATGGAATTGAACCAAATATGGCACACAGAACTCCCACGAAAACAGAAAATATATATCAATGATTGGTTGGGGGGGGGGGGGGGCGCCAAAATATTGTTTGCTTACTGTTGAAAATTACCTAGGGCCACCTCTGCCCACAGATTTGGGGACCCAATGGGTTTTCCTGCTTCTTGGCAGGAGGTTGGACTGGATGGCCCATGAGGTCTATTCCAACACTATGATTCCCTGATACTATGATTCCACTCCGAGTTTGGTTTGGACTTCAGCTTCTCTCTATGTTTTTATGGCATAGGCAGAAATTGGTAAAAGGGAATTAGGAATTTGGATAGGACATGGGGGGGGGGGGGCAGCAAACAAAGGAAACAAACAATGCAAACTCTTTACCCTAGATCTCATTGTGGAATAGGGGCTTATTCAGTCCAAGGAGCTCCTAAACATATTTTGGACTTGGAAACGCTATGCACCTTTCTGTCGGTTCCCTAAATGTACCTGCTCTCCTCCTCTGCTTTCTTTCCTATCTGCTCTCTTATTATTCTCAGTTAAGCCCAGTTGCAAACAGATCAATGTTCCTACGTGCCTTTTGGTGGTAAGATCCGTGGCTCCATCAAGGCAAGCAGCTGCTTTGCCTCTTCTTCTTCCAGAGGCAGAACAATTAATTGTGAATTAGCTTGCTGCTTTGTTTACCCAGGCAATGCGAGGGGAGAAGCCACTGCAATTAGTTTCTTCTTAATGGGCTATTGATTTTCAGTTACTAAATTAAGAAGCAGTTCCTCGAACAAGTTATTACTTCTTCTGCTTTAATCATGAAAAGTAGTACATAGATCTGTGGGACTGACATCTAGGGTGATGAACAGTTATTTAGTGTAGAGGGTTTAGAGTTCTCAGTCCCCAGAACTAACTGACTGTGCTATGCAAGTACATAGAACCGCCATCTTTTCCTCGGGAAGACTTACTCGTTTTAGTTTAGCTCAGGAACCTCTGGTGGCGCAATGGGTTAAACCTTTGTGCCAGCAGGACTGCTGACCGATAGGTCAGCGGTTCAAATCCAGGGAGAGCGGGTTGAGCTCCCTCTGTCAGCTCCAGCTCCCTATGCAGGGACATGAGAGAAGCCTCCCACAGGATGGTAACATATCCTAGTGTCTCCTGGGCAATGTCCTTGCAGATGGCCAGTTCTCTCACACCAGAAGTGACTTGCAGTTTCTCAAGTTGTTTCTTACATGAAAGAAAGAAGTTTAGCTCAACTAGGTTCGGGCATAGCACAGCAGGCTAAACCACTGTGCTGCAGAAAAATCCTACTGATCGAAGGGTCAGCAGTTTGATTTTGGGTCAGGTCAGGGTGAGCACCCACTGTTAGTCCCAGCTCACCTGCCCACCTAGCAGTTCAAAAGCAGAAATGCGAGTAGATAAATGGGTACTGCTTTTAGCAGGGAGGTAATAAAGGGAATTAAGGACATCGATAGGAGGAAAGCTCCTCAGCATGGAAGATGGAGCGCCAGCACCCCCCTGTGGCCAGAGCCGAGCACAGCCTCCAAGATGCCGGAAATAAGATGGGAACAACTTCCTTTACCTCTGTTTGTTTGTCTCTGTTAAGCATATAATCAGCACTGAATATTTGCCATATGTGTGTATTGTGTTGCTTCTCTGCTTCTCTGAATCCTCTTCAGGGTGAGAAGGGTGGGGTATCAATACTGTAAATAAATAAATAAATAAATAAAGTAACTACATAGAGGGCAATGGCAAAAACCAATATTTGGAATCCTTGGGCACCTACTAGCTCCCATTTTCTCTGATGGGGCTCACCGGTATTAGAATTCCCTGGCTCTCTAGCCCTGAAGTTAGCTTTTCAACAACAAGAGCTAGCAGTGTTTGTAACTCTACAGTTGTCAGACAACTCAAATCAGGCAGCTCTTGTCTGAAAATGGTTCCAATGGTCGCAAAGAATCTGCTATTTCCAACCTGGCACAATCTAGTTGTGTTATACTGCAATTCTTGGAGGCCCCAGTGGTGCAATGGGTTAAACCTTTGTGCCGGGAGGACTGCTGACCAAAAGGTTGGCGGATCAAATCGGGGGAGCAGAGTGAGCTTCCATTTGTCAGCTCCAGCTTCAAAGAGAAGCTTTCCACAGGATGGTAAAATGTCTGGGCAACGTCCTTGCAGACGGCCAATTCTCTCACACCACAAGCAACTTGCAGTTTCTCAAGTCGCTCCTGACATGAAAAAAAAACTACAATTCTTATCATCTTCAACCAGCTGGTGTTGTGAGCGATAGACATTGTAATCCCAACAGTTTCTTGAAGGTACTGGGTTAGGAAAAGTGTTATACCAGCTGGGGAATACTGGAAAACAACAAATCTATAATATTGCAGCCAGATATCCTTGTTCTCACCAACCCACCAAACGACTTCCACTGCCTTGGATATTATGCCTACAAAAGAGTCCCATCACCACCGCTCTGCCTTCCTCTTAAAACTGCAAAGTCTGTGCCAACTGTGCCTCTGGGAATGGATTTGATCGTTGTTTGCAGCAATTTCATTTTCAAACAGTGCTCGTTGTAGGAGATCAATTCCCCCCCCCTCTTTCCGGCCACCCACCCTGCCTGCCTCTCCGTCATCTAATGGGCAAACCTCTCATCTTGAGCCCCTTGGGCCGGCGGTAAAGCTCAATAAATGAAATCATTGTAAGCAGCAGGCTGGAGCGAGAAACACTGGGTTTAAATCTCACAGCAAAATTTATTGGTCCTGAGAGGCTCCCGACTTAGAGGATGCCTATATACCATTGATTTATAAAAATATATATGGAGTGTGTCCAGCGGTCCTTGAAAATGTTCAGCCAGTTGTTTCAGTTTAACAAACTTCCCATCCCTTTTATCTCTGTCTCTGTGTTTCATTGCTTCGTTCAGCCGCTCTGGTTACAGCAGCCAGGTGTGACTCCCCAAAACCTATTTATGTTGCACATCTACGGCTGCACATATCCCCGCTCCTCCCAGGAGTACAAGGTGGTTATCTCTGTGTGGGTCATCTTAGGAATGATAGGATCATACAATCATAGGGTTGTTATAGGGTTTTCGGGTTGTATGGCCATGTTCTAGAACAATGGTTCTCAACCTTCCTAATGCCATGACCTCTTAATACGCTTCCTCATGTTATGGTGACCCCCCCCCCCAACCATAAAATTACTTCAATTGCTACTTCATAATTGTCATTTTGCTGCTGTTATGAATAGTAATGTAAATATCTGATATTCAGGATGTATTTTATTCACTGGACCAAATTTGGCACAAATACCCAATACACCCAAATTTGAATACTGCTCCATCATGCCAGACCCCATAAGCAGATTAAGGCCTTCCCTCCATCCTGTCCTCAGAGGGAGAGAAGCAGAAGCAGACACAGCTCCATCATACCTAGGTGCAGATGCAGATGCAGCAGGTTCTGCATTGTTGCAGTGCAATGCTGTCACGCTGTTTGAACTCTCAAGGCATAAGCAATGCAAGGAACGGCAAGTTTTGAGCTTGCTCTCACCTTTCTGACCCAAGTGCGGTGGCCTCATGCAAAAGAACTGCTGTTTGCCCAAGACTGTGGAGCTGAGCAAATATTTTAGCCATGGATAGCCTTGATGCTTTTACCTCCAAAATTGCCTGCTTCCTCCAGTCTCCGTGGTTGCCGTCTCATGCTCTGTCACCTCGTATTTGGCTGCTTTCAGAATTGCCTGCAAGGTTAATCTTCCTCCTGCTGAGGCATCATCTTCCTGCCGTTCAAGGGTCCAGGGCCACAAGATGCCGTTGGAAGCAGCCATGTGTTTTCGCTTACCTGGCGACACGATCAAAAGCGAGGCAGATGAAACGGAGCCCAGGAGCCTTTTTCCTCCTTAGTCTTGCTGAGAGGGCAGCCG